AGTCAACATTGGCCAACTCAAGTCAACGTTGGTCAACCCAAGTCAACGTTGGTCAACCCAACATGGATCAACGTGGCCCACCTTGGGTCTGATTAGGTCTAAATGGTCTATGGGGTCAACGTTGGCCAACTCAAGTCAACAGGGGTCAACTCAAGTCAACATGGGTCAACTTGGGTCAACGCAACATGGGGCAGCTTGAGTTCCATTGGGTCTAACCAACCCAACCTGCCCCCAGTTGACCTCAAACACCCCTCCAACCGACCCCGGGGCCCTCCCGCAGCTTCCTATTGGCCGCCTACCTGGTGGTGAACCTGGCGTGCGCCCTGCAGAGCGTCCTGCGCAGCCCCACGTGGCGGCCCCGCCTGCCCTACTACCACTGGTGAGCGCCCCTTTAAGCCGGACACCGGGGCCCTTTAACCTGGGCGCCGGGGCCCCTCTCACCCGGACGCCGGGGCCCCCGGCGCCGCAGGGGCCTCTCGCTGGCCGGCGCCGCCCTCTGCCTGGCCCTCATGTTCGTCACGTCGTGGCCCTGCGCCGCCATCGCCCTGGGCATGGCCACCACCGTCTACAAGTACATGGAGTACCAAGGGTGAGGCCCGGGCGCCGGGGCCCCCTTGCCTGGACGCCTGGGCCCCATTTAATGCCCCTCCCTCCCCAACAGGGCGGCCCAGGAGTGGGGGGAGGGGCTGCGGGGGCTCTCGCTGAGCGCCGCCCACTTCGCCCTCCTGCGGCTGGAGGAGGCGCCAGCGCTGAGCAAGAACTGGAGGTGGGCGGGGCCTGGACGCCAGGGCCCCTTGCCCGGACGCCTGGGCCCCTCTCTAAGGCTCCCTATTGGGGGGGTGGGTTGGGGCTTCTCCAAGGGCTCTTATAGGACTGGTCGGGGGTGGGAAAGGGACACTCAGATACCGGGGCCCCTCCCATGGTCTCCTGGGTTCCCCTCCCAGACGCCGGGGCCCCTTTCCCAGACTCCTGGGTCCCCCCTATGGACTCTCTCCCCAGACGCCTGGGTCCCTCTTCCCACTTCCTCCTTGCCTTGCCCCAGGGCCCTTCCCCATGGGCCCCACCGGGGCAGTCGGGGCTTCTCTGTGGGCTCCTATAGGGTTGGGCAGGTGGGAAAGGGGACTCCCGGCCGCTGGGGCCCTCTCCCCCTTCACTCACCTGCTCTCCCGGACACCGGGGCCCCTCTCCCGGCCGCCGGGGCCCCTGCTGGGGCGCAGGCCGCAGCTGCTGGTGCTGCTGAAGCCGGACGCGGCGCTGCGGCCCACGCGGCCCTGGCTGCTGGCGGCGGCCGCGCAGCTCAAGGCGGCCGGGGGCCTCGCGCTCGTTGCCGCCGTCGTCCCCGGCCACTTTCTGGAGGCACCGGCGCGGCGGCGCCAAGCCGAACAGGTCAGCCCTAGGCCCCGCCCCCAGGCCTGGCCCTGCCCCTGAATCATGCCTCACCTCCAAACACCCTGCGACAGGCAGAGCAGGTCGGCGCTAGGCCCCGCCCCTGAGCCCTGGCCCCACCCCCCGAGTCCTGGCTCCTCCCCCAAACCTCACCCCAGCCCCCCAGGCTCCACCCCCTGGCCTCTGCATGGCAGCACCAGGTCAAGCAGGTCAGCACCAGGCCCCGCCCCCTGAACGCTGGCCCCGCCCCCTACCCCAGCGCCACCCCCACGTGACACCCAGCTCCACCCCCAAGCCCGAGTTGGGGGGCGGGTGTGGATCACTATGTGGCAAGGAGGTGGGACACGATGTGGTAGCATTATAGCTCACTATATGGTGGGGTCACTATGTAGTGGGGTGGTCCTTATGCGGTAACTCTATAGCTCATTATATGGCAGGAGTCACTAAATGGCAGAGGAGTCTCTATGAGGTAGCCGAACGGCTCACTTTGCGGCAGGGGGTTTTCTTTGGGGTAGCCCTATAGACTCATTATGTGGCAGGGAGGTCCCTATGAAGTAGCCCTACGGCTCAGTATTTGGTGGGCTCACTATGTGCTGGGAGGGTCTCTATACTGGGTAGCCCTATGGCGCATTATGTGCCAAGGGAGCGCTATGGGGTAGCCCTATTGCTCACTATGTGGCAGGGACGTCTCTATGGGGTAACACTATGACTCACTATGAGGTAGGGTCACTCACTATGAGGTAGGGTCACTCCACACATGAAGGATCTTCATGGGGCACCAGTGCTGTCACTGTGCGCCAGGGCAGGCCCTACGGTGCTTGCACGGGGCTCACTACGTGCCGTGCTCATTATGCAGCAGGCGGCTTCCTATAGGATCAATGTATGGCTCACTATTTGGCACTGCCACAATGTGCCAAGGGGAGG